GATGGTTGGTATTGAATTTGGTGAGAATCGGTGAAAGGATTCATTTTTTATAAAATTTTGAATTTTTTAAGAAATGTCTGTACACGTTGTAACTTACGTAAATTTTGAAATATCGGATTAGATTTTCTTAAATAAATAGAGTATCATTAAAGGATGGTTGGTATTGAATTTAGTGAGGATCTGTGATTGGTTTTTTATCTTTTTTTTTCTCTTTTACTCTAATACTTTTGATTAACTAATACTGTTTATATGATATATTATTGTAAATAAAATATATAATTAACATATTAAAAATCACTTTAGAAAAAATTACACAATGTGAAAAAAATCTGTATACATATTTTTGTATTTATAATTTTTACTAAATTAATTTAGGAACTTATTGTTAACATGTTTGATTCGTAAAATGATTAACAAACTATATTTAGAAAACCTGATTATGTACAATTATAAAATTTGTATTTTAGATTTTTCATATTGCATCAAACGGAGATAATAATATCGATGAAATTTTATTTCCCTCTGTACTTGTGTTTATTAGCGTTTTATATATGTTTTGCGCCAACTATGTCGGGCAAAATGTAACAGATCATAATAATCATGTATTTGTTACCGTGTAAGATATAATTTTATGAAGTACAATTATATAGGATAATTATATAACATTATATGTATAGCTATATAACATTTTACATTAAAAAAAAATATCATAGTTGTTTATAAGAGAGATGAGAGCGTATATATACGCGAATAATGTATATATATGTATATATGTATCAAGAAGTTATTAATCTATCTATCTTTCTAAAATTACGAATTTTTTGTTCGCATTAATTTTGTAGATATAACGTTCAGTGGTACATAGCTCCGTTACATGTACAGAAACTGATGCTGTTTCTGTTGCAAAGTAACACCCAAGACTTTACTTTAGGTGTCGGCGGATTTTTTATTGGATCGTTAGAGTGTTTCGCCACGGTAAGGAAATAAATAGCTCTCAGATTGCATTTAATATATTACAAGTAAACATTACAGCTGGTGAAAACTTCGGTCTCTTATTTTACTGTCATATATTCAACGCAATAATAAGGTAAGAAGAGAAATTCTAATAAAATAATAATCTGGCAAAAATTTAATTTTAACGAAACTTCAATATACAATTTTTTTATATTACAATAAAAAAAAATTAAAAATAGTGTAATATTCATTTCATAATTTGTACGTGAACAGACGTATAAGAGATTTCCGAAGATATAAATATATGCAATCAGAAAGAGATACCATAGAGTACATATATTATATAATTTTCGATGTGCATAAAAAAAACTGAGCATATAAAACACTGATACAATTTCACTTAATTTTACATTATTCTCATGTTTTATTTTCACTATTTGCAATATATGAATTTACATTATTTTTAAATAAATAATTTTTATATTGTTAATATTAGTATGGTCATATTTCTTTATAATTAATTTTTTTTACAATAAATGTGCAAAAAAAAATCAAAATTTAAGAAATAAAGTTGTCTTCAATAAGAGCCATATTATCTTTAAATATAATTTGATAATTTAAATGTCTTATATATATGAAGCTAAAACAAAAGATTCTTCTTACAGATGACATATAACATTAGCTATTATATGTGCTATATATCAAATAATACACACAGATACATACTATATACAAGTAAAGGTAAATATAGCGAATAGGGGACCCAGCCCCAATAACCTTGACCTTGACATATGTTGTCAAGGTCATAAATATTACTTATTTCAAGTATTTCAAAAGTTCATATATTCGCAAATCTATCATAAGTTCATCATAAGGATCAAATTTATTCAAAATGTATTCTGGATCCTAGTAAATTTAATACTTCAATCAAGAATATTAAATTATATAATTGAAATAAATACATTAAATTTTTCTAATCTAATAAATTTTCTTACATTAAATTAACCATATCGGACTTTTCTTTGATAAAAGTTTATAATATTCTTCAAAAGAAAATATTTACTTTTTTTGAGCACATAATAATGAGTATTTCTTTGATTAATGTTATATTGTCGTTAGGCATTTTGATTTTTTGCGTACGTATTTCGATCGTAATAAAGATTTATGTAAACATACATAGCAGAACTATTTCTGTTGAAAAATGATATTACATACTTGCAGAGCGGTAAGTTTGATAAATGATACATCGATACTTCAAATCGGGAGACGATTCTTTCGAAGATCAACCGTATCTCATGAGTGCGTGTACTAGAATGATGTTGTAACGCTGAGAAAAAGGAAATGCGCCTGCGTGATACTTTTCTCTCTCGAGTCTGTTTTTCCTCCTTTTTGCTGAGAAAAAGGCATCCGTTGAATTGCTCACAAATAACCTTTAAGCATCATATCGATCGCTTAATCGTGGACAATTTTCACGAGAAACGTTGCTAAATTGCGAATTAATGTCGAAGGCGTACTAATGTTCTCTAGCACTTAGTATCAATTTTATAAAATTTTCGTAAAAAAGAAAGGGAACGCTTAATCGATTGGTCTGGAAAAGAGGGGATGAAAGGAACGTCATCGACTCCCTCACGGTCATACGTGTCTCAACTCTCTCGAAGAAATGATCTGTGTGGAAAGTCGGTATTTTAACATCAATCGTATTCTCTTACTCACAGTTGGCTTATGGCCTTACGCGCAATCCAAACTCGTTCGAGCGCAACTGATTTTGCTCTACGGCATTCTGACAAGCTTCATTTTATTTCAAGTACATCAATGGTTTTACATAATTATGCGATATTTACATTACATAAATTTTATAAGCTAACATATTGTTATTTGTAATCTGGTACGTATTTATGTTAATTGTGGCATTTGTGATCTGGTATGTATTTATGTTGATTATGGCACATATATACACCTTTTACGATAATATACCTTTACTAATTATGTAATTATTTTTATATGTGTAATATATATGTATACTTAATTTCTATACAATATATATAATATTATACAATATATAAAATTATTGCATAATACATTTTACTATCTTATCAGTAGATAGAAAGATCTAAATTGTTAATTGTTCTCTTCTCTATGTATGAGTAGGACAAGCGGCAAAATGTAATTGTGTTATTACATAATTTTATGTGTGTGATTTTGTCATACTTTGCGCGACTTTTGCTCAACCCATGCATAGAATAGAATAATTTTAATAATTTAGACCTTTTTGCTTGTTGATAAGATAAGAAACGTGTTATTTTTTTGATGCGACTGATTCAACAAAATCATTTCTCGCAGTTTATGATATTTGTGACTTCAAAATGCACTCTACAATACGTTATTGAGATTCTTTCTGCCGCATCTTTCTTCATGTTCCATTTGATACTGTACAGCAAGTTTTCGTTTAACATGGATGTCGTAAGTGAAGAATACATATTTTTCTACTTGTTTGAATAAACGTGTTATATGTATTGCAATCTTTGTTATGCCTCAACAAAACACCTATGGTAAATTTCGTTGATACAACAGGTAAAACATTTATTAGAACTACTTCAATGTACCTATAACGAGCTAAGGGATGAGAGCGAAGTCGCCATTATAGAAAAATATTGGAATATTGCAAGACGTTACACTGAAACACTTACGCGTAAGCCAATCTCACATAATTTTAATTACTTGAAAAGTGTTTAATAAGTTTTTTACTCGGAGTCGAGTTTCTGGCCAAATTAATTGAATAGAGATGAAATAAATTTATAACGTACAATAGTTACTAATTTTTGTAATATATTAATAAGTAAATATCCCCCCATGATTGTGGCTCTTACATCTCTTTTTAGTGATTGGCATGTGTGGCACGAGTGTCTTTATTCTTTCTCCATTTCTACCCCATATTTTCGCCATGGTAATGCCCGGGAATGAGTCTCGACCATACATTTCGCTACAAATCGTCTCAGAATACTTCATTGATCAAGAGAGATATTTCTATTTAATTATGTTACATACCAATGCAGCATTTTGCATAGGAATAATGGTAATGCTAGCGACGGGAACAATGTGTTTAACATATATTCAACATATTTGTGGAATGTTAAGGATTGCTAGGTGAGAAAATTAACGTATATAGAAATGAAAATGAAAATTTATGTCGACACAAAATTAAAAGTTTCATTATTTCGAATAAAAAGATTCGACAAAATTGTACTGGATTCATATCTGGATTTACTCTTATGTAATAACATTGTACACGAGTAGATACACTGAAAAAATGTACTAAACCCAAAAAATTTTTTTTTTATTTAAAAAAATTATTTATTAAATTTTTGCAAAAGAGATAGTTATTTCAATCAAGCAGCAAATATATTTGAATTAGTAAAATATAAATTAAAAGCAAAGCATGCTTTTATTTGTAAATAAAAAAAGATTGCTTTTTATCTTTATTATATTAAATTACTTCCATTAATAAATATTTTTAAATTTTTGACTGTTTGGTTCAAAAACATAGGTTTTCTTTATTTTAATAAATAATTTTTATCTTCAAATAAATATTTTTTTATATCATAATTTTAAATATTTTATTTTCAAAATTACAATTTTTATTACATGCAAATAATAATTTATTTAATATAACTATGTAACAAAACATTTTTCAAAACAAAATATATATTTATTTAAGTAAAAAAAATCAAAATTAAAAAAATTTATTTATTTACGAGGGTCAGTCAAATATAAATCAAACTTTTCCAAAACTTTGTATTTGATCGAAATATTTCCAACGCATATTCAAGTTTTTTTTCTACATAATTTTCAATACAAAAACTATCAATCCGGTGGCAAAAATGTTAGTAAATTAAATGTTAGTAGGAACTATGTAGAAAAAAGATTTGTGCGTTGGAAATATTTTGATCAAATAAAAAGTGTTGGAAAAAGTTCGGTTTATATCTGACTGCCCCTTGTAATTAAAAAAAAATATTTTTAGTGTAATTATAAAATTATTAACGTATCACGTAATTTATAGTTATCGTATGGAGAGGATCATGAGCATTGACACTCGACAAATAAGCGCCGCAAAAAGTGCAAATTTAATTTACATGGGTATAGTGTACGCCGTAGATATGCATCGCAAGGCTATAAAGTTTGTATTTCTCGGATATATATGTTTATAGAAAGTATCGTAATATGTAGAATTCACTTTAAGTATAAATTCCTTGACAAATTTTGTTTAGCAAAAATGTCAAACCTCAGATACTTTTTAATTGCTATAAATGATTAAAAATTTAATAGCTTTTATACAAAGTAATACCATAAAACCTATACGCATTTAATTTCACGCGGTTAATTTTACTTCAAAAAATTTTTAATTATAAACTTATTCTCTTTAATGTATTTAATATTGGAAATAAAGAAATAATAAACAAAGAAATGGAGTCGAATTAACATTACGAACTAAAATGGATTTGATTGAATAAAAAGAAAAAATCTATGCCTGAATTGACTTCTATGTGTTACGGTACGTATTGTATAAGAACGCAAATAATATCTTTCACATTTTTTATTGAAGGTTTACAAAAATTTTTATTTCTTCAATTAATAAATTCTTATTCGTCCTTATAATGGACGGATTACTTACAGCAAGTCTCAATCTTTATCAGGTAAGTATTGTCTTTCCTTCATACATGTACTTTCTAATAAAGAGCAATTGTACATGTAGTGTATATGTAGTGCTATAATTTCACTAACAATCTGAATGGATCATATCCGTTTAGTTTTCAGTTTATAAAGCGTAAAATCATGATAAAAACATACATAAAAAAATTAATTACGCTATTGTAAAACTCGTATTTCAGATTTTTCACGAACTGTCATCTGAATGCGCTATCGCACAAATTATAAAGTATTGTATTTTTGTGAACGTCTACTATATATATACTTTCCTCGCCAACTATTGTGGACAACAAATTATAGATCATAATAATCATATATTTGCTACTGTGTAAGAAAGATTTTCATGTGACAATCACAAATTAAAATAATTAAGATAAAAGACAAAGGCAATGCATGCAAAATAAAATTAAAAAAAGACAAAAGTTAAAATGTTTTCTTAAACAAATATACGTATTCTAAAGATTATTTATGAATTTTATGCTCGTCAAAAATCACTGGTCAGCTGTTTGACTATCATTTCGTAGGTACAATGTTCAATGGTATATAGCACCCTTACATATACAGAAGCTGATACTATTCCTGTTACAAAGGGGAACTAAAGCTTTTGACAATCTAGTAGTTATCGGTGGATTGTTTGTAGGATCCTTAGAAGGCTTTGCCACGGTGAAAATTTTATCAGAATTTATTCAACAAAGAGTATATTTCAAACATTTCAAGAAGATATCTCTTATTGCAGTTGGTCAGCGCGTCGGTTTCGTACTTTACATTTCTTTATTCCACGAGACAATAATTAATGTATTATACCGATATCGATGAACTAATACTATATAAAGTCGATATAATACAGATTCGATACATTACATGGATATATTAGATGAATATAATAATATAATGAAGCTGCTCAAATTAACAGAAATGCGATGATAATAAATAATTATATATTTATCTTTCGTTAGAGTAAACTTTTTTTCCTAATGCGATATACATACTGATACGTTGAATGCTATATATATTTAAATATACATAATTGAAAAAGATATATCAATAAAAACAAAAATTTAAATTTTATTTCTTTAATATCACGAATTGTGTAAAACTCTAGAAAATTAATAAACACGGACATGCTGTGGAGTTCTGTGAGTCGCGTGAAGGTTACGATGCGCGTTTGATCTAATTTATTTATTATATATATATTTATTTATTTATTATAAGCAGAAGATAGTCTAAACCGAGACCGAAACGTACAATTTTATAATAAACGGAATTTTTTTGACAATTTAATCTTTTGCGTCCTGTTTACTGCACCGACTCCCTATCGTCCGTTAAGACATTTTTTATCATATTTGTATATATTAGAACCCTTATTGTGTTTTCATTTTAATTTGTTATATTTAAAATTAAGAAAGTTATTAGAGAACATGGTAAATATGCATATTAAGTTACACCTCACCGATGACTTTGACCTTGACATATGTTGTCAAGGACATAACCCTGAGTAACTTTTCCTTAATATAAAAATTTAAACAAAAAGAATACTGTAAAATGACATTTAGTAAAGAATAACATGTTTTGGTAGTACCGATTTAAATATACTGAGATGTGTTGATATTGAGCACAACTTAAAAGAGTGTCTTTCAACCCTGTATACAATAGAATGAAACATATGCGTTACCGAAAAGTAGCGATTGCGACTGCGCGACTTTTGTGTAAAAATGTCTTCTCGTGAATACTTCTCTGTGAGAAAATAACTTCTGTTAAATTGCTCTCAATGTCAAATCGATTGTTTATTCATGATTCTTCACATAAGAAAATTTCTTAAATTATATAATTACGTAATTGTCTAATTTTCCAAGCAATTTAAAGTAGTCACTATATGCAATATTGACTATTTCTTATTTATCGAATTAAGAAGATTACTGATGATAAAATTTATACTATGAGAAAAAAGTCGTGTATGAAGCGTCGATAAATCGAGAAAGGATAAATGAATATTCGAGTATTGCTTTTCCGTCAAACTTGTGTCGACAGTCACAGAGAGATGATCTGTCTCGTGACTCAACATTTTAACATCAACCGAATTCTGTTGCTCATCATTGGCTTGTGGCCTTATCATCGGTCGCCCCTAGTTGAACTTCACTTAATTTTACTTTTTGGTACTCTGATGACTTTTATAATATTTCAGGTATATTTTCATTTCTATTGTATCTTATTACAGAATCGTGCATATTATAATGACGTAAAAGAATCAAAGCATTATTCTAATTTTGTTGCATGATTTAAATATAATTATGTTGCATCATAATTATTTTTGTAATAATTATGTTACAATTCAGTATATAAAATTATAAATTATGTGCCTCTTTTATTAAATTAATATATGTATTATCGAAAACGGTGTACAGTTTAACGAAAAATGGAAAATTTATAGATTGATAACACCGTTCAACAAAAAATAACTTTTTTTCGAACACCGGAACGAGACTAGTCATGTCTTATAGGTTTTTGGACGCTGAACACGAATCCGGTTTCGAAATTGCTCCATCACGTCAGAATTTTGAGAAATTTGCAATATTATAGCTATAATATGATAAAGTTCGTGAAAATAGCTCTTTTTTGCAACTTTAATTGCAATTTTTTTTTAAATTTTGACGTGATGAAGCAATTTCGGAACCGGATTCGTGTTTAGCGTCCAAAAACCTATAAGAAATGACTAGTTCCGTTCCGGCGTTTTTTTTTCTTTTTGAACTGTGTAATCGAATAATGTAGCTTTGACAAATAATGAATAACATTATTTCCTACAGTTGACAACATTTATAACATCGGAATGTACTCTGGATCTAATCTATAAAGTTTTATCTTCTGCATTCCTTTTCATTTGTTTTGCAATCAAATACAATTCGTTTTGGATTAACGCCGATATTGTAAGCGTGTAAATATTAAGCATCATTGATATACATATGTATCTTTGTATACGATACATATGGGTTTACGTATTTGTTGCTCTCGATCGAGCTACTTTTGATAGTTTATCTTTTCTTAACATATCGTTCATTTTCTATTCTTCAATCATCATAATGTAAATTCAAACTAAAGAAAAATATAAAGTAGATAAACGAGTTTGAATCCGATCGAGAAAGAATACAAAGGCCTTATTATAATAGATTTTGAATGTTACAAAGAGAAATGACATATAGTATTGTCAACATGATAGTTAAGGAGTTCGCTGAAGCAACTTCAAGATGTGTGTAATGAGATAACGGACAAAAATGAGATCGCTATCATAGAAAAGTACGGACGCAAAGCGAAACATATTACGATTGGACTTATATGTAAGATAATATTTCTCAATCTTTATTTTATGTTCCAATATCGTTTCACATTCAAATAAATAAATTGCAAATGTAAAAAAATGTTAAAAATTAAGGGATAATATATTTATGAATTTATATGATTATTTTAAAATCTTTCTTAGTACTTGGAATATGCTGTCAATTTATTTTTATTTTGATATATATTTGGCCGTACATTTTGATTTTCAAAACCAAATCTCGATCACATTCTCCGTCGTATATAGAGACCGAATATTTCATTGATGAAGAAAAATATTTCTATTTAATTACGCTGCATAGACACGCAGCAATTTGCATAGGCTTATTGGCAATGGTAGCGACAGGAACTATGCTCATAACATATCTTCAACATGTTTTTGCAATGTTTAATATTGCCTGGTAAGGAAATAGAGTAGAAATATGTACAAAAATTTAAATAATATGCTTAGACAAATTATATAATTACAGCAAAATTATTTACAGTTACCGTATCGAGCAGGCAATTAATATTTCACAAAAGGGTGGTTTCAAAAATGAGGAAAAGGGTTGTAAGGAGATAAGTCGTGCCGTAAACATTCATCGCAACGCTATGAAGTTCATATTATTGTTGTAGCAGGTCTACCGGAAAGTTCTGTCCGTTTTTGGAATAAAACAAAATACAAATTTTTATTACCGTCAATAAATTTTATTAAATAATGTAATTGCCATTATTCGGAGAAGTATTGTCAGCAACTGGATAATTTAAATACAGCAGTCCAAGAAAAGAGGCCGCCGATGTTCAATAGGAAGAACATCATACCGCATCATGATAATGCCAGGCCACATGCTGCTTTGGATACTCGTCAAAAAATTGCAGAACTAGGCTGGGAAATTCTGTCGCATCCACCATATTCCCCGGACTTAGCACCCTCCGACTATCACTTGTTTTTGTCCTTACAAAATTTTTTGAGGGGCAAAAAATTCAAAAATGAAGAATAAAGCAGCATGTGGCCTGGCATTATCATGATGCAGTATGATGTTCTTCCTATTGTACATCGCCGGCCTCTTTTCTTGGACTGCTGTATTTAAATTATCCAGTTGCTGACAATACTTCTCCGAATAATGGCAATTACATTATTTAATAAAGTTTATTGACGGTAATAAAAATTTGTATTTTGTTTTATTCCAAAAACGGACAGAACTTTCCGGTAGACCTAATATTAATAACAAGTATTTAATGTGTGTGTGCACACACATACACATGCACAAATAATAATAATATATATTTTTTTTCATATTTAAAGGCTTAGCAATTTTTTAATATCTAATTTTGAGGGGTCGTTTTTTTTCTTGATTGCGGCTGGCATGATTTGTTTTTGCTGTAATCTTCTTCGGGTAAATTTTGTCTTCAAATTCCTGCACGAGCAGCACGCTACTTTGTAAAATTAAAATTCATTGACAACAGACTTACATAAATAAAGAGAAATAACAAATTCTCTCTCTAGCGATATATGAGTTACAAACCTATAAAATTAACTGCATGTGCTCCTATTCTATTACAAATATAAGCTATATTTATACAACATACGCACATACTTCTTACAAAAATTATACAAAATCTCACAATTATGTAAGTGACACATTAAATAGCGACATGTTACTATGGATTTTAATCTACTGACATTTTATAACATGCATAAAACAGTGTAGTGCGTAAGAAGCCGATGATAAGCATGTAACATGTTCTTCATAATTTTCAGATTGCGTCATTTACCGATGACATTGGACAACTTATACTATCTCTAACTATTTTACTTATTCTTTATGTGTACTTGTTTCTATCCAATTATACTGCACAAAAAATTACAATTTACAATGAGTATGTGTTTGCCACAGTGTAAGAAAAATTTCAACTTCATATGCGAGTGTATTTGTTTTGCAGATACTTATAACATAATTCAAAATTAGAAATTTCTTACAAAGTTAATATGCTTCAAAAAAAAAAA